GAAAAAGGAGGGAGAATGAGACAAAATGGGAGAAATGTGAAGAGAAATGTGTCGGTCTGTTGGGACTGCAGTAGTAGGGACTGACAGGTCCCTATGATGACCTCATCCCTCCTCGATTCAAGGAGGGCAGTCCGGATTGCAGAGATATGGCCCTTGGGGCATTATCTCTACAATATCTGAATTAAAAAGAGAAAAATTAGAGAAAATGCATAAGTGAGTAGGCCAAATTTCTTTTGGGCCATGGATCTGAAATCAGATCTCATGGTGGAGAGGATCTGGCCGTTTTTTGTGGGCCAGCACAAAACGGTTAGCTCCGGAATGAGGTGGCAACCCAAAATGGAAAGAAACAAAGGAGGGAAGAGGACAAAACTGTGTATTTGGCCCAAAAGGGGAGCCAGATGCATCAGAAATTGAGAAAATGGACTTAGGCCAAAATTGAAGCAAGAGCCACTTGGGGGTAGCTCAGAATAATGTGGACCTTGGATCTCAGCCACATCCAAGGCTGAAAATGTGCCGCCACATGGGAAAATAGGCCGGCCTACTCAAAACGAGGCCTAGATCAGCAAAGGGCAAGAAAAGGGCCTCTAGGCCCTCAATTTTCAAGAACGACTGCCCCTTGGGCATGGGGACCCTATCAAACAGTATCTTTTGAAACTGAAAAGAGGCCAAGGGAGGCCAAGAGGTAGTCCGAGTTGGTACCAGCCATTCGGACTGCATGTACGTGGCCGGAATTAGGCCCAGGTATCTCTGGAAGGGCCTAGTGGTGAAAAATGGCCTTGGAGGTACCTCGGTTCACTTTGAGGCACATGGGGAGGCCTAGGGGCTGGGTGGTGCACCAATTCCAGCCTACATAAGCTGGGAGTTCAGTCCGCCACTCCCACATTTGCATGAGAGGAGCCCATGCTGCCCAAATGAGCCCGTGGGAGAGCTCTACTCACTAGAAGTGGGAGGAGGGGAACCACTACCTGTCTAGAGCTTGGATATGGTGACAGGCTAGAGGAGGAGGCTCTTGAGGGTGGATAGTAGTGGGGAAGGCAGTCCGCCATAGCCCCAGACTGTGGGAGGAAGGAAGAGGTTAGGACTCCGTAGCCAAGGAGAGGAGAGCCTACCATAGCCTGGCAAGAGGAGAGAGGAGGAGGAGGAGAGGATCTTGGAAGGAGAAAGCCATAGCCAGGGAGTAAGCACCAAGGTTGAGACTCCATCACCAGGAGCACTAATAGAGGTGAGTGGAAGAGAGAGGCTTCTCCTTCTCCCCCTTCTTCGTCTTCTTCCTCTCCTTTTTCTTCTTCTTCTTCCTTCTTCTTCTTCTTCTTTTTCTTCTTCTTCCTATTCTTCTTCTTCTCCCTCTTCTTCTTCTCCTTCTTCTTCCCTCTACTCATTCTTCTTTCGCTCCCTCCTCTTTCTTCTTCCTCTTCCCCTTCTTCCCCTCTCCTTCTTCTTCTCCTTCTCCCTCTTCTTCTTCTTCTCCTTCTTCTTCTTCTTCTCCCTCCCCCTTCCCTCTCCCATTTTGGTCTCATTTGGTGTTGTGATGGGTAGCGATGTATCCTAGGATGCTCCGATGCACTTATCCCTGTGTTTGGCCTGATCAATCCTTTATTTTGGTTTCACTTGGTGATATGGTGAGTTGCGATCCATCTCTTGATGTTCCGTTGTTCAGATCTTGGTTGTAGGACAGTTCAAACTCATGTTTTGCACTAGGTAGGTAGGCGGTGATATCCTGATACACACCTTGATGTTCCGCTGTTCAGATCTTGGCTGTAGGACAGTTCAAACTCTTGACTTGCACTAGGTAGGTAGGCGGTAATATCCCGATGCTCCTCTTGATGTGCCGCTGTTCAATTCTCGACTGTAGGATTGATCAGACTTGTGTTTTGCGCTAGGTAGGCGGTGATATCCCGATACTCACCTTGATGTTCC